TTTTTTTGCGGTCTAACAGTGTCACTAGTGTTGATGGACATTATAGACAGATGGACAGATAGACAGATGGACCAGTTAACATGGACCAACAATCTCACCAGTGTTGAAGGATAACCACGGTTGCCTTTTTTGCAATACATGCGTTCCTGTCTTCCGTCTTTGAATTATTGCAAGTGCGAACTGAGCAAAACAAAATCCTTACTGTACGGGAGAAACCGTACTACCATTCAGCCCCGTAAGATTCTTTCCATAGGGGAAACTTTGGTCGCTCTGCGGGACGGGATAAAATTATCCGATCGGAATAAAATTTTGCACACATCCTTGTGTCATAGTATCGACAAGATTTCTGACCCGGCCCGACAAATCCGACAAACTTTTCCAAAATGGACCACCCTACTCTCACACAGACACATAAAGAAGCGGTGCATTCATGTAATTTTAGGAATTAAAACAAGGTGCATCACATCTCAAAAGATGTGATATTGTGTATTCCTTTTAGGATGTATTTCGAATTTAAATAATAATGACCAAATGCCCCCCATTTTCTGGACAAAGTATTTTAATTTACATGGCTTACCTTGTTGCGTGAGTTGTTACAAGTGAGGTTGGACAAGATGCCTGTTGCGCAGGTCAGCATATTGACATCATCCGAACCCAGCTGAGTGACTAATATCTGCAGCAGACCATCTAAACCTTCCTAGAGAGAGAGAGAGAGAGAGAGAGAAGTTCCACAAACACATCATTACATCAAGCTCAGGTGCAGCACAGTCAGCACAAGACAAAGGGCGACTTGCACCCATGCGCTAGGCGTAAAAAGTGGGACAACTTCATTTTTGTGCGAGCGCAAGTCTAGTCTGCCGCGTTTCGGGCCGTTTTGCACCTCTCTGGGTGTTACCAGGCATGGGCTTGATTCGCCTGCGACTCACCTGATAATTTGGTCATGGAAAGTAGACTCTCCCCAACTACATAAGCCCGTGGATGCCCTCGAATGCATCAGCGGCTATCTGGCGCAATTGAAAGTTATAATTACTTGGCCCTTTTCCACCATGACAGTGTGCAGTTCGCTACTGTAGCTAGTAATGCTTATACCCAAAATGAAACTTCTGGATGCTGCAATTTAGAACAGCTTCATCCCATTATTTAAATTTCCTATCTATTTTATGTCATGATAATAACTTTGATAATTTGGTCACGGTAAGTTGACTGCGCTTGCCGTAAAACAGACTTTTCTCCATTTTTGTGCCTGGGCAAGTCTAGTTTACCGTGTCTGTGAATTTGGTAGATGCGCTTTGCTTCGCTGGGTGTTACAGGTGACACGGCTGCCTCACACAAGGACACACACAACACGGGTGCAGGGAGGTCTCCAATTTCGCACATCATACGCATAGCCGACTACATCATCCGCAAGAGGAGATTGTGCAGTTTACTTGCCGATGTTGTGCATAGACTCCGAGTCTTTTTCTGTTTCCGCAATGTCAAGCCGGCAGCGCTGCGACCGCCCTGATTATAATGCAAATGAGGGATGCCGCTATGATTAGGCAGAAACATGTTGTGTTTGATCCTACAAATGCCCACTTATGCCCAAATCTAACTTTGCAAAGTATGGTAAAATGCCCCCCCCCCCCACTGCTCCCCCCAAAAAGAGAAAATTCCACTCATGTGCACATTTAGACTGCTTTGCGCTAGACTTGCACTGGGAATGAAGACAGGGCCCAAAGTGTGCGCTAATATTCTGACAGGAGCGATGACAAAGTGATCATCAAGTCCTTGGTCACTTCCCCTTCCAGCTCAAGGAAAAAGTCCTGACACAGAAACTGCTTGGGGATGGTCTTGAATCCTTGACTGTAATTTTCTTTCTATTCTTTCCATCATTGAGCTCTTATCGTGCTTTCCCTGTCCACCTTGTTTTATTTTGTCTTCACAGTTTATTGTACATTCGCGACAGTCTTTTGCTGACACAGTTTTTCGTTTATCTTTTGCTCCCTTTCACATGCTTCCTGTGGTTGAATAAATTTGTTTATTTGCTTATATTTGCATTGGTTCAATGAGATCAATTTTGGTTTTCACAGACAAGTGTGAGTAGGATTAACACAATTTTGTTAGCGGTGGTAATATTGAAAGCAAAGAAGCTGAGTCATACATACTTGTTTAGTTGCAGCATCTGACAGGTTGCGAAGCGTCCATAGACAGTTCTGAATCAGACGCTGACTCGACCCCGTAAGATGCTGACCCAAAGCTTGCATACCTCCTGCGGACAGATGTAAATATAAATTGACACCTTCATCACCTGCCATTATTCCACATTACTGTTAAGTTCTTTATTTGTACCAGCTTCTACTATGGCGGGCTTGTTGCTGGGACACACAGACAGTACTTTGAGTACGCGACTGGTGGTCCAGAGAAGCTTCTCATAGTTGTAGTTTCTCATGATGAACACCAGACCCTCTGGGCCCCCGTTGGCGAGTATTATTAGCTATGAAAACCAGGAAGCACAAGGTAAGTAATTACTGATTGCTGAAAAGAAACCTCAAGTTGAACATCCACACCTAACCGTATTCACCTTGCTCTCTTGGTTGGCGTAAGACAAGAGCTGTAGACAATCTGTGGTAATTGCAAGGAACTTAGGGTTACTCTTTTTGAGTAAGGGCACCATCCTCTGAAGGCCATCAGCAAGACGCACTGCCATCTTGGCTCCCTCTTGGTGCAACAGAAGGTTGTGAAGGGTGGTTATAGCGTAAAATAAAACCGTCTCCACAGGTGAACTGTGAGGAAAAAAAATGACAGGATGGGGATTGAAATGTTATTGAGGATTTTATTTCTGAGTACATGAGTAGATCTTTCATCTCAACACTTTATGAATGCCCTTTTTTTTTTGTCCATCTGCAACCAGTGAGTTTTGCAAGAGATTTTAGGGCATCATTTTCGCTACGAAGTGACAACAGTGGGGAAATGATACCGACAGATGCAGGTGGCATCAACTAGTTTTTAAAAAAAAAAAAGAAAAGACAATAAAACTTGTTTGTCATTCCTTTTTGACGGCCATCTAGCATTTTGAATTTTTTTCAGAAAATACGTAAAATCAAGAGGACAGTCCTGTCTGATGTCAATGACTATAGACAGAATTTCAAATGAATTTGGTTTTACCCGCAAACTTAAAATGATACAAGCGTAACAACAGGCTTGGAAAATGGAACACAGAGAATAAAACTAATGCACAATACACGAAAAGAGAGTGCGTTATGTAATGTTTCAAAGGATGACTTCAGAGAGAACACACAGAGACGAGGAAAAAAAATGTAGGACAGTAAGAAAAGGCAAAATTATTCCTCGACTTTCATTTTTTTTTTGTAATATAATGTGTTCTTTCATTTTATGTGTATAAATGAATCCCTGAATTAATTATTACCACAAATGATTCCTCTTTAGTTACATTGTGGTGGAGGAGATTAACTTTGAAAGCTTATTATGGTTGGAAAGTCCACATATTAAAAGGAGGCGTGTTCGTCATCGATGTGGGACAACATAAACATTTCAAAACAATGAGGCGGCCCGGCGCTCCAGTGGTTAGCACGCCGACCTAACAGTGCAGAGGTCACGGGTTCGATCCTGGCTCTGGCCTTCCTGTGTGGCGTTTGCATGTCCTCTGAACACTCTAAATTGTCCTTAGTGAGTGCTAATGGTTGTATGTCTATGAGTGCCCTGCGATTGGCTGGCAACCAGTTCAGGATGTAGCCCACATAATGCCCGAAGACAACTGGGATAGGCTCCAGCACGGAGCTATTACATCAGGGATTGCCACCCTTTTATGGCTTGTGTACTCACAAAGCTTTCGGTCGTGCCATTGAGTAACCCATCATTCCTAAGTAGAATGTAACACAACTGACTATTTCATGAAAATTACTTATTTTCTTTGATTTGTACATTTAACTACATTTAACTCAAATTCAAGATAAAAATAAATATGCTGCCTTGAAAACACTATTTTACCCCAAAAAAACAGAGCTCCTTTCAATAAGTCATCTTAAACTTAAAATATCAGAAGTATAACACCGAAGAAGAATCATATTCAGAGCCACAAAAGTAGTTTGACTTTCATTTCATCGCTGTCTGAACTTTAATGTGACACTTGAGTGATTGATTGCTGATGTGGGAAATAAATTATTCCACGACATACCCACTGCAGTGTGACAAAGCAGGGGTCTACAAGTTTGGTCCTTGTGAACCCCTATCCAGCCTGTTACCCTGATCCAGGCTTGGGTTATCTTTGTCTTTGTTATACCTCTCAAATGTCCGGTGTTTTATACAAATGAGTGTAACATTCATCCATCCATTTTCTGATCCGCTTTATCCTCACAAGGGTCGCGGGGCATGCTGGAACCTATCTCAGCTGTCTTTGGGCAGTAGGCAGGGGACACCCTGAACCAGTAGCCAGCCAATCGTAGGGCACACAGAGATGAACAAACAATCGCGCTCACACTCACACCTAGGGACAATTTAGAGTGTTCAATCAGCCTGCCATGCATGTTTTTGGAATGTGGGAGGAAACCGGAGTACCCGGTGAAAACCCACGCAGGCACGGGGTCAATATGCAAAAACTGACATATAAAAAAAAAAATACTTGACATATAAAAAATACATTTTTATCTCCTAAATTAAATCTTAGGCATGGTGGTCGACATCTGCCAAACAGTGCAGAGGTGCTGTATGCCCCGCCTACTGCCCAAAGATGGCTGGGATGGGCTCCAGCACGCCCTGCGACCCTTGTAAGGATAGGCGGATCAGAAAATGGATGCATGGAAGTTATGTTTTAAATTTAATTCCTCCTTTATGTTCTTTTGTTTTCAGATTATTGTTATTTGTACATGCATTATTTGTATATTTGTATGTGATGTGACACTGTAAATTCCCTCAAGTGACTTCAAAAGTCACAGTTTGACACTCTATAAACTGCAATAGATGAGGATGTAATAACATTTCAAAATACAGAAGACAAACATCCACTAATTTGTAGGGGCAAAAAAAAGATCCTTTTAAATATGAACCTTTAGTAGTCCTGTTAAAATCATTTTACCTCAGCATGCGGACAAGCGCCGGTATCCCTCCGGACTTAAATATGGCCTGCAGTCCCTCACTCTGGTGTGACAAGCTGTGGAGGATGCTTGCAGTGCAACGAGCCGTCTCCATGTCAACTGCTGTTGTCATGGCACGAACCACAGCTCCAACCATGGTTGGAGATTGTACCAGAACCCGGCGACTGGCCTCCTTACGAGTGAGCTGGTTGACAATCATGGCTGCCTTGTTCACCACTACCTAGTAAACAGAGCAAGATCATTGATAAGGATCAGTTTGGTCAAACAGTGAAAAGTGATTCTTCGGTTTCAGTTCAAAGGTTTAATGAGGACACAAACATCAAATACATGCAATACAGACGGCATGTATCAAAAATATATAAATCTAGAGTTCATACTTTCATACAACTGGCTAATCAATTAATGATGTACATTTTCATAACCTTTATCCAAACACAAATGTGAACTTCAGTGCAGTTACTGTCGTATAATTTATTTTCAAGCCTTACGTGTAGTACTGTGGAAATATCCGTTCGAGAATTTCAATTAATTTTCGTTCATGTTTCGAATACATTTTTCGTCTGCTGATGTGCCGCTCATGAATAAAGATTGCAAAAATGTCCCCAAATTAGAGCGAAAATAAGATACTGTAGCATATAATTACATTGTCATGTCGATGAAGTCATAAATTCATTGTTGGAGATATAATGTACAGTATTTTCAGTAAAACCACGTGGCAAAATTAAGCTTGAATGAAATGAATACTATAACATATTTGTAACTCATATCCGAGTGAAGGAATCCACGGGAAAAATAATTTAACATAAAGTACCGGATCATCATCTGCAAGGAGCTTGGTGAGCTCCGGCACTGCTCTTGTGGCCAGCTCGGCATCATCCTGGTAATTTATCAGATGAACTATGGCTGTCTTTAGTAACTGTGAGGGCTCGGCCAGTCTTTGCACGTTGCTCTGTTGTGTGGAATCTGCTTGGACCGGGATGGCTGCCTCTCCCTCCACCAGTGTCTCAGGAAACATGGCTGCCCTGACACGCTGGGCCCGGGTTAATGAGTACTGAGCATCTAAATCTGTGGAGGAAAATTGAAACAGAGAGAGGATGAAGTCACATTATTCATCTAGGAGAGTAATACCCTAAATTGGAAAACACTTTTACATAATAGTTTTTGTGAGGGGAAAAAACAATGACGCAATAAAAATGAAATATATCCAAACAAATGAGGAACAGTCTCCAGACACTCGTGGCTTGGTGGGTTACTATATACCACATCATGTATTTTAAATGCAGTATTATGTCAAATCAAATACTATTGAGTCAATGCAAGAGTGTGATTACATAACCAAGCTATCGACAAATTTTCTTTCTGTGGTCGTGTCACTGGGGCAGCAGCTGAAGCAGAGAAGCCCAGATTTCCCTCTCCCATCATACTGTATGAATGTCATGGTGTTGATCGGATCAATACTGAAATATCAGTACTTCAGTACCATGCAACCTTTACCACTACTATGAGCGAAATACAATTCAAACCACATAAAAAATTGTCATCGACATTTTCATGAAAAAAACCATTAAAGTGGTGAAGCAATGAGATTTAATTTAAATAATAGAGTGATGCTTTGGATTTTGTTGTTCTAATACAGCCATCTGTGGAGTTTTTAAAATGACTGCAAACCAAAGCAAAGAGGATGATGGGGAGCGATAACATATCAAGGAATTCATTCCTAAAGTAGAAATAAAGACGTTTCGGTAAATCAAAGAGCAGTTCTGCACCAGTGTCTATAATCAGCAATATTGGCAGTATAGTTTATTTGCTGATGTGGTTTGGACCTGAATGAATAGCATTCCCTTTAAATGGATGCAGCGATTTGTGCGGGACGGAGCATTACCAGGGTGGCAACAGACAATGTCAGTGGATACGCTCAACAAATACAGAATGGGCTGGTGATAACCGCTGGTGACTTAAACGTGTCTGCGAACCTCATGTTTATGTCCTCATTCCTGATTGTTTGTATGGCTAGTATGTGGATGTTTTTTGTGGGTGTATCTGCAATGAAAAGAAAGAGAAAAAGAGACTTGAGTTGTATGCGCTGTACGTCTTCAAACAAACCTTCCAGAGGGAGTTTATTTAGCTATAAGAGGGTTGTATATTTAACAAAAACTGAACAATATCATAAATGGCATGGCAATATCCACTGGTGCAGAGCAGACAAATACTTTCAAATCCAAACACAGAACGACCATGGTGTTGTTACTTTTGAGGAGACAAAAAAATAAAGTCAAGAGAGAATGATCAGTCGCCCAATGTTATTTTGTCTCATCGATTGTCTCGAAATATGTTGCCCATTAAACTAGTATACTATATTGTTTTAAAAATATAACCTTCGGATTTCATTCAATTTTTCATGGAATGACAGTCAGCCAGCGAGGGAATTTCCATGCACTTTTGGTTTTCTCTCTGGAAAGCTTTGTAGTGATGGTGGGAGGGAAATGGCACTGTCTTGCAAAATAAAGGTCAGCTTTCATGTTATTCCTGTATAAGAAATTTACCACATTATATGGTTTTCAAAATACAGTACCGTTTAGTATCGTCAGACAGCTATTGAACACATTCTCTAGGTGAGCTAGATAAAGTTTGCCCTGCTGCCTCAGTAATCTCCAAATAAGCAAGAAATACTACCAACTAAATAACTAAATGAACTAAATAACTCCATCAGCTGTCAACCTTGGGAGTCAATTTGAACATTACATTTCATTAATAGAGCAACTACAAATAAATTCTAGTTTACCCAACCACCTGTAGTCAGACTGGAGTGATGCAGGTCAAATGATGTTTGATGGTTTTCCTTGGTGATGGAGCAGTTGGCAGGGTGCAACAATTTTTTTTTTCTTTCTTGCAAGGAAGCGTCACAGTACAGTGAATTCCAAACTGGTGATTAAATGTTTAGATGTAATATGAAGACAATGTCAACATTTCTAATCACATTTAGTATTTAGTACTTTATTGATTCTTTGCCGGAAGTAGGTGTAGCTACTGGGGTTGGCAAAATGGGGGTGATGCCCGCCACCCCGCAGACCTGCCAGTGGTAACAACAATAATCGACCGACAATCATTGGTAAATTTGAAATAAAGTGGAACCCAACATTCAAACCTCCTTAAAGTCACACAATTCGGAAACTAAGCAACATCATGAGAAGAAGAAGCAAAAATGAAGACTATATTGAAGTTTGGAAATGAAAAGAATTCTGTAGACAGAAGAAAAAGCCTTTAGAGAAACCAGTGGGAGGGGAAAAATATGTACAAACAGCTCAATGAACTTATAAAAGCTTATCTCCATGTGTGTTTTTCTTCTATCATTGTTTTTGTGTATCTATGCATCTCTGTATTAAACAATGGAATACAGAGATGCATAGTGTGTGTGGGTATATATTAGGGTGGTCCACATTTTCATGGCAAAAAAAAAAGTTTGTCGGATTCGTCGGGCCGGGTCGGAATTCTTGTCGATACTATGGTACAAGGTTCTGTGCAAAATTTCATTCCGATCTGATGATATTTTCCCGTCCCGCAAAGCGGCCAAAGTTTCCACCATAACAACTGGTCTCAATAGGGTGAACATGTGTATTTTAACCGTGTATTTTGCCATGCGTGACACTGGCTGGGCTGAATGTTGCCCGAACGATCACCTCCTGACTAATTAACCATTCCATCGCTGCTCTCAGCAGCCGGAGACAAACTCAAACGCACGCCTAACACACAACGGTCACCTACTGGCGAGCTAATATCTTTCAATTGAAGTCGAGAATCGCCGGAATTCTTACTGGACGCTGAGCTGAGGACGCTTTTCGACATCGAAAAAAAAAAAAAAAAAAGAGCACGAGGATCGGCAGTTCCTGCTGGGCCAGGAGAAGCGTTGCGTATTGCGTTAGTCGTGGCTGTCCCTGCGTTCAGCATGGCCGCTGCAACTGCAAGACGCTCACGCTCAGCCACCGAAGTGTGGCTTGTTGGGCAGCCCGAAGCTCACCACGGCTCGTCGGCGCGCTCGTCACCTACGGGTGGTGAACGACTTTGCGGAGAGGGGCGTCGCCCTCATCAGCGCGTTCTGCGGCGCCATTACGCGCGACGAGGAACAGCGACAGCACCTTCTGCAGGTCGTGGAGCGACACCGGGCGTTGCACCCGTGCGCGAAGTAGGCATGGGATGGCACGCACGGCGGATTTCGTTTTTTTGGCGGTCTAACAGTGTCACTAGTGTTGATGGACATTATAGACAGATGGACAGATAGACAGATGGACCAGTTAACATGGACCAACAATCTCACCAGTGTTGAAGGATAACCACGGTTGCCTTTGTTGCAATACATGCGTTCCTGTCTTCCGTCTTGGAATTATTGCAAGTGCGAACTGAGCAAAACAAAATCCTTAC